TTATCGTTGTAATCGTGATGATCATAACAATATATCTCACCATCAAAAGTGGATAAACTATGAAAAAAATAAATAAATAAAAATGAATCAAGTTAGTATTCTGAAAATGAATATTATAGATATGACATGAATGGACATTGGTCGCGTATCTACCATACATCAAATGACCTCATTGAGCTTTATCAAACTTCGTTGAAAAAGAAAGAGTAAAATATATAAGTCAATTTTATATATCAAAATAATAGTAATTGTAATCAATTAGTTGTTAGTTTTTTATTTATAAATAAGACGTTTTATATTTCTTATAATTTCAATTGTACGGTGATAGTTATAAACTTATTTATTTATTTATTTTTATGAAGAATATATTTATTTCTTTGTTTCGTGTTTATTTAATTATTTATCTTGTATTAATATTATACTTGATAATATTAATCTAATAAATTACTTGAAGAGATAAATTTTGAAAACTCTAGAATAAAGAATATATTATTATTTAAAGAGATAATTTTCAAAAACTCTAGAAGAGTCAATAAATTACTCGAAGTGACAAAATTTAAAGGTTTCGGAATGACAAATATATTACTATCCGAAAGGATAAATTTTATTATAAATGATACATTATTCTTTTTAAAATCTCATGGAAATTTGTTGAATTTCAAAAATATTCGTCTAAATAGACATCATATCAAGACAAAAAATGTGAGAAATATTAAATATTTATATATTATAATTATTGCATTGGGTAGAAAATAAGTATTAAAGAAATTACTCATTTTCTCTTCTAATCTTCATTGCAAATATTTAAATGATTGAAACAAATGTTATAGTAAACTAGAAGTTTTTAAATTTGAATACTTTTAATATGTTGTATGATTGGTTAGGTTATCCTACGCATTTCATGATATGAAAAATTATTGAAAATTCATATAGGCATATATCAAAGAGGTAGAAGATTTTTCAATCTAATGAATTTTTATGTTATGTATGTTTTTAAAGTAAACTCGCTGATTATTAAGCCATCAATGCGTAAAATTAAGATTGAATCTTCAATATTTTTAAAACGTGTTCAAGATAATATATGTGGACCAATTCATCCATCATATGAACTATTTACATATCTTCTAGTTTTAATAGATGCATTATAATAAAAGGCTTATTATCTACTCAAAACCCGATATTTTCAAGATTGCTAGCTCAAATAATTTGATTACGAGTACAATTTTTAGATTATACTATTAAAATAATTTATCTTGATAATGCAAGTGGATCTATCTCTCAAATATTAAATGATTATTGATTGGCTATTAGAATAAAGATTGAACGAGTCTATTGCTCATGTTCATACTCAAAAACGTTTAACGGAATCATTTATCAAAAAGCTTCAATTGATAGCTAAACTATTACTTATGAAAACAAGCTCCCTATTTATGTTTGAGGACATTCAATCTTATATTCATTAACACTTATTCGCATCGGATTTACAAGTTATCAAAAATTCTCGCTCCTTCAATTGATTTTTGATCATAAACCATATATTTCTCATCTAAGAATTTTTAGTCATGCAAGTATGTATCCCTAGTGCTCTTCCATAATAAACTAAAATGAGCACTTAAAGGAGTTAGAAGATTTCAAATTATGTTTTCATGAGTTGAGTTTAAATGAAAATTATTAGTGAACTATCTTTGAAAGATTAATGAAATGAATTTGTAATTAGAGTGTGATGAATAAAATGATGGACTTAAATTTTTAAATTAAGGAACTTTCGTTGTGAATTTTAAAGTATAAATGAGTTAAACCCTTATGATATTTTTTACTGATCATTAGATAAAACTGATCATATTATTTACATATATGGTATTAACAAATTATAACTTTAAAGAATAGTCTCGATAGTTAAGAAAATTTATTATTTTCTTGATTTTTAAACTTTACAATCAATATTTTTTTTAAAAAAAATATTTATCTAAATGTATCACATTGAAAAAAATAATATTAATTAATTATCAATGTATAATTAGATTAATTTTTTAAATTCATAAAGAAAAAACCCTACTTATCGGGTAAAAAAGTATTTAACATTGAAAGGCTCAACTTAATTGAAAACAACAATAATATAATAATTCGTTGTTTTTAAATAAATTTATGGACGTCCATATTCTTCACTCTTCGCGTGTATGAATCCTTTCTGGCTTGTACAGAAAAAAAAATGCTAAATCTTGGATCTATAAGCATATGTAGTTCTGTTCATCAATCAAGTTTTTAAAAAGATGCTATTTTTTGTACCTATTAAAATTTATTCCTATTCCTCCATCACATGTGAAAAGATGCTGTAGCGATAGTGTTTAATAAATTGTAACCCAAAGGAAAAAAACAAAGAGAAAACAGAGGAAAAAACAATAGCATTGGCATTCACGTTCTTATAGGCTACGAACACGCCCGGGAATCTTTGATCTTTTTTAGGCCAGCTTTTAGCATTTGGTGGGTGATGTCAGGTTTACTGCTAAGCCATACATTTGTTAAACAAATCGACTTCTATTCCTTTTTTGAAGAAATAATTTTAAGTTTTATGAGTTAAGAAAACCAAGCATTTAACTAAACATAAACTTACTTCAACATTTTTATTTAATTCTGTATATTTGTTAAAATATTTTTACATAAGATTTATTTGAATTAAAAAGGTAAGCGTCATAATTTTTTATATAAATTTTACAATAAAATATGACATCATTATGTCTAAATTATATATATTTTTTATAAATGATAAATTAAAGAAAGATGAGTAGCACTAATTAAATTTGAAAGTAAAAAAAATGATATTGTCATTGATTCTTTCATACTCATTACTATAATATTTTTTTCAAGTTAAATTAATTTTTAGGCATTAAATTTATTTATAACTATAAAGAAATTATAAATAACATGAACTTTATTTACACTTTGATGTATTTTTATATACAATTCATTATATTGATTTTAGTATTGATTTTTATTTAGTTTTTTTTTTGTAGAATTAAAAAAATTAACGTATCTCTAACAAGTCATATTTTATATACATATATATATATATATATATATATATCTTATCCATGTCCATGTTTCAGTTTGTCCTTTCCTTGAGCTATTTGTAATGGTCTTTTCCTTAAGCTTAAGTTCTAGTGATTTTTTCTTTTTTCACAACGAATGTATCATTAAAACGTTGAGTAAATTATAAATTAATTCTTCTCATTTTGAAAAAACAAATCAATTAGTTTTTTGGTTTCAAAAACTAATTATTTAATTTTTTACTATTATTTAATTTATTTTTATTTTTTCAAAAAATAGAAAAAAGAATAAAAAATATGAAAAGATTGATAAAAAAAGAATATTTTTTATAAAATCAAAAATATTAAATCGGCTGTGGTCTGGTTAAAAAACTAAATAATTAATGTTTAAAACTAAATGGACTAATTAATTTATTTCTCAAAACAAGAGAGATTAATTTATAATTTACTCTTAAAACGTTAATTAAAAATCAAACCAGCCCAAATTGACCAGCAAAAAAAAAAAAAAGTCAGTCCTCACTTATAAGCAAACGTCACTTTTATACTATCTATTTTCTCTCATGGTCTTTGCTAATATTAAAAGAAAACAATAATAATAATAAAAAAAAGCAGTCAATAAAATCGGTTTAAAATAACAGGTCCTAGCATACTATATATATATTTGTTACACATGCGTGTATTTCAAAAAAAAAATTCCCTAACACGACAATCTCTTAGGCTATCTCCTGATAAACGATATTTATTGTTTAGTCATAAATATTTTTAAAATGAAAATCAGTGATATATGAGACCATAAAACTGCTAATAATATCCATTGATGGGGTGGAAATAATAATGAGTAATAAAATAAAAAATTATTAACTATGAAACTATTAATGTTTACAAGAGGAAAATTTTTAAAACACGAATAATTAATAAATTTATTTTATGAGTTTATTTCGAAGAGAGAGGAGAAATAGATCACTAAACACATGAAAAATACTAAAAGTATTTTCACTTATGTTTTTTTAATTCTTTCTTATTTATTTATTTATTATTATTATTATTATTATTTTGTGTTTTTTTCTTTATAAAACAAGTATGGACTTGTTGTTGGTTACGTACAAAGGAAAGGAAGATTAAATTTTCAATATGTTTAATTTTAAAAAATTACAGCGGTGAGATTCGAACACAATTCATATGCCTAATTGACCTCGTTATCTAATTACCAAAGAACCAACAACTGGGCTGGCCTGGCCAAAGTCAAACACACAAATTAAAGTCTTACAGAGGAGTTGTTGTGCTGGGGGGCAGTTGCCCATTTCCAAATTCTTCCGCTCTCTCTCCCTCTTTCTGTTATATATACACATAACTCCCACTTCAAATTCAGCTACAAAACTCTCTCTCTCTCTCTCTCTCTCTCTCTGCATTTTTTTCCTTGCGGATCTCTCAAGAACACCTCTGCATATCGCATTGCAGGTATAACTTACAATTATAACGATAATCCTCTGTTTATTGACCCTTAGATCCATCCATCCAACTATCTATTTTTGCTATATTTTCTTAGTGACCATACAGTCTTTTCTTTGAATTCACGGATTATCTTTTATGTTTTAAGTGATTAATAAAGCGTATTCGTCTGGTTAGGAAACTATAGTAGGATTTTCTAAAATACTCAATTAATTTTTATATAATAAATGATCAATTATTCGATGTCTCATGCTTTTTCTATGATTTGAGATTTCCTAACTAATTAACTAACTAAGTAATTCATTAATTAATTAAATATCAGTTGTTTAAAAGGTGATCATCTAAAGCTTGTGTTCGTTTTTTTTTTTTTTTGGGAGCTCATTTATGCTTGCCGTATTATTATTATTATTAATGTTCTTTTGATTGGATTAATGGATTGGCTTTACGTTATTAATCAAATGCTAACAGGGCTTGTACTTTCTTGCAGATTTTTATTTCCAATTCTCAATGGCTGCTGCTGAGATAAAGCCGAGAGGTGCTCTTTTTTTTTTTTTCAAAATAATTTTATCAACATTTCAGTTTATGAATGCTATATGGGTTGTTCAATTTTCTTGATTTAAAATTTTCGCAGATGTTTGTGTCGTTGGTGTTGCCCGTACACCGATGGGTGGCTTTTTGGGTTCACTGTCATCTTTACCTGCGACCAAGCTTGGATCTGTAGCTATTGAAGGTCAGAATACAGCCTTTCGGTCCTGTTTACTATTGTTTTAATCTCTATTTCTGAAAGATTCTTTATCATTTGGTGCTAAATGCTCGTTTGCTTGTCCATATGTAGCTGCTCTTAAAAGGGCCAATGTTGATCCTTCAACTGTAGAAGAAGTGTTTTTTGGCAATGTTCTCAGTGCAAATTTAGGACAGGCTCCGGCTAGACAGGCTGCATTAGGTGCAGGAATTCCCAATTCAGTAGTTTGCACCACTGTTAACAAAGTTTGTGCTTCAGGGATGAAAGGTGCACATGATTGTTAATTTCATTTTGTTAATTACTTCTCCGTTTTATGTTAGGAAATATTACTAAAACCAATTTTTTTTTTTTTTTTTGCAGCAACCATGCTTGCAGCCCAAAGTATCCAGTTGGGTATTAATGATGTTGTTGTTGCTGGAGGCATGGAAAGCATGTCCAATGTCCCTAAATATCTGGCTGAAGCAAGGTTAGTGTGAGACACTCATTACTGTTGGTCAGTTCTATTACTTTGGAACACTCCATTGAATATTTTATGATTCAATTAAGCAGGAAGGGTTCCCGACTTGGACATGATTCAATTGTTGATGGAATGCTCAAAGACGGGCTGTGGGATGTTTATAATGATTATGGCATGGGAAATTGTGCTGAATTATGTGCAGATACTCATTCAATCCCCAGGGAGGACCAGGTATTGTATTAATCCCATGGTGTTCCGTCAACAGAACCGCATTGTTAAATATGGAGATTGATATAATTATTTTCATCATGATATGGTGTCAAATCTGCATTATGCTCTAGTGGTCAGTTAATATTCTTATAGACATTTTGTTGTTTTGATCAAACCTAGCCTTGTTTTAGCCACAAAACCCAATCTTAATGGGTAATTGTTATGCATAGAGCTTGCTCTCTGGTTTTCTACCTCCTTTCAGTACAGTTTCAGGAACACACTTTTTCCCATTGATTTTTCTTTTCCCTTTAGTAGCCTGCCAGTCCACACCCATGGTTACCATAAGCCTTAAGTCGTCCGGTATCTTTGTATCAGGGGCAGCTTGACCAGTGACGGCATAATGATAAAAGCTGGAGGCACTAGATTAATGGATACAAGTCTAAGAATCTCTGTTGCCCTCTCAACCACGTAGAGCCTCAAATCTTTGACCTTTGACCGTTAAAAGTATAAGTCGTAAACACTAGGCCCCCACCCTTTGGTTGTCTTTTCCTGAATAAATTCTTAAACATCAGTATTTTTCCAATTCCTCCATTTAATTCCAACTACACTCTTCTTGATTTTTTTTTCAAAAAAAAGTTTAATTCAATTTCTTACTATTATCTTGGTGTTTTATGCAGGATAACTACGCCATCCACAGCTTTGAGCGTGGTATTGCTGCAAAAGATAGTGGTGCCTTTTCATGGGAAATTGTTCCGGTTAGACAACTAGTTTTATGTTGAAGATATTACCTTTGCTTTATGTAGTCAATATTATGTATCTAAATCTGGCACTGCACAGGTTGAAGTTTCTGGTGGAAGAGGAAGACCTTCTACAATTGTTGATACGGATGAAGGTTTAGGAAAGGTAAATACTTTTCATCCTTTGTATCACTTGCATACACTTCTGTAGGCAGTTGTACTTAATGATGTTATGTCCTGTCTTCTCAGTTATGTAGGTGCATGGTTAAAAATGCACAAGTTTTTTTTTTTTTTTTTTTCCTGAGATGCACGTCTCATTTTTCTTGGAATAATGTCCACAAATTGGTTTTTGAAAAAGGAAGGAAAAACAAAACTCTTTTAAGCTTCAATGACTTGCATCACTATGTATTGCCCTTTTGTGATTGAATAACAAAATTTTGCTCCATTTGATTCCAAACTCTCCTTTTTCCCTGCTTCTGATGTTTGGAATTAGTTATCGGTATCCAACTTGCTCTGCTGTTAAACTCTTCCATGTTGCTTTTGTGCTATGCCAGTTTGATCCTGCAAAATTGAGGAAGCTCCGACCAAGTTTCAAAGAAGCTGGAGGCTCAGTTACTGCTGGCAATGCCTCTAGCATAAGGTTTATTATTTCTTTCACCTTCAATTTACTTATCCATCTTCTTTTACCTTTTCTAGTTAGGTCAGAATATGAGAAGTAGCTATATGTTTTACTCTACAAGAGGTCTATCTTTTGCACAAGTGTAGTCGTTTGATGCTGGCACCTTGCTTTCTTATGCATCTTTATGAGTATCTCCAAACGCTATATCTTATGGATTTTTTCCTGAATAGCGATAGACGTTCTTGCTCTTTGTTATACCTCTTTCAGCTTGTATTTAAACTCTAATGTGTTGAAATTGTAGTAATAAGTGGCTCAAATTTTCATTTCATGGATGCGTATCGAGTGGCTTTAATGTTGTGTGTACAAGTCTTATGAAGACATGAGCTTAAGTGTTTCACTAAAAGTGTAATTTTCTCGTTAACAGTGATGGTGCTGCTGCTTTAGTTCTAGTGAGTGGAGAGAAGGCAATTAAGCTTGGATTGCAAGTGATTGCAAAGATTACAGGATATGCTGATGCTGCTCAGGTAATACCTTAATTTGGAAAGAAAAATGACTATTTTCTTGATATCGTGCATTTTAAGTTACCTTGTCGTTTTTGAGTTTTAAGCGCCACATGCTGCTTAATCATGTCAATTCACTGTGCAGGCACCAGAGCTTTTTACAACTTCTCCAGCCCTGGCCATACCTAAAGCTCTTTCAAATGCAGGCTTGGATGCTTCCCAAGTTGATTATTATGAAATAAACGAAGCCTTTGCTGTAAGCTTGATGCTTTATTTTCTGTTTGTTATGGTGTCTTTGAGATGAAAATCATCATTTATGTCACACCATATGCAGGTTGTGGCTCTTGCAAATCAGAAATTGCTTGGACTTGATCCAGTGAGTGCTTTTGATCTCTGTGAATGCATGTGTGCATGCACTGTTACTCAGCACTTATAAAGATTTTAATATTTACGATGTTATATGGATTATTTCCAAGGAATGATTGCAATATCATTCCATTTAGCACTTCCCTTTTTTCCGTTGAAATGTGGCCTATTTCATTCTTGTTGATGAAGCACCCCTTTTATCCTGTTTACAGGAAAAGGTCAATGTACATGGTGGAGCTGTATCCTTGGGACATCCACTAGGTTGCAGTGGAGCTCGTATCTTGGTCACACTTTTGGGGGTATTCTTCTGCTGAATCCTCTTCAACATTTACTGAATTGATTTATCAAAAAAAAAAAAAAAAAAAGACATTAACTGAGTTGCTACTTGAGCTGTTAATCACATATTGCTACTCCCACCCCTTCTCTCTCTTTCCTTGCATGCATATCTGTATGTACCTTCTCATACATCAATGGAAGTCTTTACTTAGTAGAATTGTCATGGTACTGTAGGTATTGAAGCAGAAACAAGTTAAATATGGTGTTGGTGGTGTTTGCAATGGAGGTGGTGGTGCATCCGCACTAGTTGTAGAGCTTCTGTAGATTTGCTGATTTGGTAAGTGCAAAATCTCACGCAAATAACATTCATGATTAGCATCACTACGCATCGTATCACTCATTAGGTAAGCACAGTAAAAATGCAAAGAATGAAGACCACATTTTGTTGCTCTCTCCTCAACCATTAGTTACGTTAAAAAAAAAAAAAAAATGGCTGTTACATCATAAAATGGTTTGTGCCCCCTTTTTCCCCCAAGTATGATTAAATTCCTGATAGATGATTAAATTAATTTTTTTGAATAAAAGATGCAGCAAAATGCTGCAAAGTGTGTCCATGATGCATTTTCTTTCATTCTTATTTCATTAGATAAACAACAATTTTCTTGGCAATGTGCTGCTATTTGTGTGCCGTAGAAGTTAGAACAATGTCTACCAAGTGTAAATGGTTTGATGTTATTCTTCGGACGATAAAACCCTCACTTGATTATGGTGTTGCGTAATGACTTTTCTGGGAAGGCACCCGTCATTCCCTAGTCCAATAACCAAACTGTTTGCTCTCTTTTTCAGGCGGTAGAAAAGGTTGGGGACTATGTGGCGTGGGATAAATCTCTGTCAACATTGAAGTTCAAAGTTCAATTTATCTTCCTTTCATTTCTTCTCTAATAACCTAGAGTGGTTGTATTTAGGTTTCAACAGAACAAATGCTGTTAATGTTACGTGCCTCTCTTCATTTTTAATTTTTTTTTCCTCCAATAAAACCAGTGGTGTAGTTTACATGTAGCTTTCCAAATTTAATTTCTTGTTCTCTCTCTCATTTTGTGCACAAGACTTTCTCACCCTGGGACGACGTGGACCCATATTTTTCTTTTAAAAGTTGGAGGAGCTGGAGCCCGAAACTTACAAGAAAGGAAAAGCAAAAAAAAAAAAATTGTTGGAGTAGGTCATATCACAGGACGAGCATCGTTGTCTGTGAGATGTGATCAATGGTTTTCTTAAGAAAAGAGGGAACGTAAATCTGGGTTGAGTCTAGAATTCCTTTGTTTTGGGCATAAGCACAGAGTCTGGGTCCATCTGAACTACTGGGTTTGAATACAAAAACAGATCCACTGGTCCAGAAGGGCACAGACATTGTTTCTGCGCCTTTCTTTTTTTTTTCTTTTTTTTTTTTTTTAAACTGACGTATTCAAAGCCTTCAGCAGAATTAGTTTATTAATATTTAAATTTGTAATTTTTTATTATAAGAGATCATTATCACTCAACTACAAAGTCTTTAGCTAGCATTGAAACTTGGGACATGTTACCGTGGCGCTTGGAAGATGTGGTAATCCTGCGCATGGAGGGAAAATGATGCTCTATCATTTCTCTTGCAGAATTTCTCTCTAGTCCCTGTAGATGCTATCTTGATCTTGCACTAGCATAAAGATGACCATTCACTGTCATCTATAACATAATTTGACCTTTGATGTGGTAGTTTCAGGTTAACAGAAACACACCATCGTTGAAAAATGAGAGAGAATCATTCTTCTCTCTCGTTATTGTGAGTTTATGCAAAAAAAAAAATAAATAAATTTATTTCCCTTAGCTCATATGATCAAGACCAGTGCAACTTTAAAAAGTGAAGAGAGAGGATTTATTTTCAGATAAATATTGGGATTTAAGACCCTGGTTAAGCTGGTTCAACGATTTCAGTTGTTAGTACTAAACCAAAAGGAATTGGAAAGGAAATAAAGACGTGCGGGTTCATGCCTTCATGGACATTTACAATTTTGTTCATATTTGAAACACTAATGCCTTGTTTGAAATTGAACGGTAAGGATGTTACTACATGCCAAGCAAATCACATACACCAAAATAAGCAACGAGTCTCAACAAATCTGAATATGTTAAATTAATATAAGAGAGACATGGTGTTTAAAGTCCATCGATATTTTTAATTCAATACATAAACGGACTTGAAAATACTTTATACCATTAAGTCAAAAAATAATAATTAATAATAATAATAATTTATTGGTTTTCGATCTGTACCCATATGGTATGGTTAATTGATGAGCAAAAATGCAGAGCAAGGGACCAGATTATGGGTCAATCCAAGTTGGAATGATAAAATTATGGAATTTGCCTTTTGATTTGGCAATGCCAGGCTGGAAATATATATATATATATATATATATATATTACGTTGCTATATATGTAAATCATGCGAGGAGTTCACTGTTCAAATGAACACTGAACTCCACACCCTGTTGTACTGTTCATTTGAACACTATTAGTTTTTTTATAAAAAAAAATTCATTCTTAGCTTTTTTCTTTAGTTTTTTTTTTAATTTTAAAATTATTTTATTTTGATCCCTAAAATTTTAAAATAAAAATTTTAATCCTTAGCTGATGCACTATATGTCTTTTCTTTTTTCTTTGTTTTTTTTTTTTTTTGCTTTTTTCTATCAATTTATGTTCTTTTTTTATTTAATTGAGTGTTAAAATTTTTAAAAATTGATCGTTATTTTTTTCACATAAGTCGATGATTATATAATATATATAGATCAAATTTATATTGTTTAAAAATTATCCCCTCACAATGTACCATTCACTCCTTTTTTTTTTTTTTTTACCCTCATAATGTACTATTCACTCTTTTTTTTTTCGTAATTTAACTCTTAGTTTTTTTTTTTCAAATTATTTCGTTTTGATCATTAAAATTTTAAAATAGAATTTTTAATCCATATTTGATGCACTAAATGTTTTTTTTTCTTTACTTTTTTCCATCAATTTATGTTTTTTTATTTAATAGGATGTTAAGATTTTTAAAAACCAATCGTTGCTTTTTTCATATAAACCGACGATTATATAATATATATAGATCACATGTATATATTTTTTTAAAAAAAATCTTCTCATCAACATTAGATAAGAATAAAATTTTATTTTTTTCATTGATTAATTTCTATGCAAGTCTATACATTGATTATAATTTTATTTTTTTCGATATATTCTTATAAAATAATATATTTTAAAATTTCTTGTTATTATGGCAATATTGTTATGCTCCTTATAATGTACTATTCACTCCTTTTTTTTACCCTCACAATGTACTATTTACTTTTAGGTTTTTTTCTTTTCCTTTTTTTAATTTTCACTCTTATTTTTTTCTCTTTTTTCTTAGTTTTTTTTTTTTTTTGTAGTTTTCAAATTATTTCGTTTTGATCCTTAAAATTTTAAAATAAAAATTTTAATCCCCAGTCGATTCACTACATGCCTTTTCATTTTTCTTTTCTTTTCTTTTTTTTTTGGTTTTTTCTTTAATGTTTTCCATCAATTTATGTTTTTTTATTTAATTGGGTGTTAAAATTTTTAAAAATCGATCGTTATTTTTTCCACACAAGCGATGATTGTATAATTTATATAGATCAAATGTATATTGTTTAAAAATTACCCCCTCACAATGTACTCGTTCACTCCTTTTCTTTTTCTTTTTCTTTTTTTGTTTTTACCCTCATAATGTACTATTCACTTTTTTTTTTTTCGTAATTTTAACTCTTAGTTTTTTTTGTACTTTTTTTTTGTGATTTTCAAATTATTTCGTTTTGATCCTTAAAATTTTAAAATATAATTTTTAATCCCTATCCGATGCACTAAATGCCTTTTTTTCTTGACCTTTTTCCATCAATTTATGTTTTTTTTATTTAATAGGATGTTAAGATTTTTAAAAATCAATCGTTGCTTTTTCACATAAACTCGAAGATTATATAATATATATAGATCATATGTATATACTTTTTTTAAAGAAATTCTTCTCTCCAACATTGGATAAGAATAAATTTTTATATTTTTTACTTATTAATTTTTATACAAGTCTATACATTGATTATAACTTTATTTTTTTATATATATTCTTATAAAAATATATATTTTTAAAATTTTTGTTATTATGTCAATACTCGTTCTCCCCTCACAATGTACTATTCACTTTTTCTTTTACCCTTACAATGTACTATTTACTCTTAAGTTTTATTTCTTTTTTTTTTTTCTTTTAATTTTCACTCTTAGTTTTTCTCTTTTTTCTTAGTTGTTTTTTTTTTTAGTAGTTTTCAAATTATTTTATTTTGATCCTTGAAATTTTAAAATAAAAATTTTAATCCCTAACTAATGCACTACATGCCTTTTATTTTTTCTTTAATTTTTTTCCATCAATTTATGTTTTTTTTTATTTAATTGGTTGTTAAAATTTTAAAAATCAATCGTTACTTTTTTTTCACACAAACTAACAATTATATAATATGCATAAATCAAATATATGAACTTTAAAAAAATAATCTTCTCATCAACATTAAATAAGAATAAATTTTTTTTATTGGTTAATTTTTATGCAATTCTATAAATCAATTGTAACTTTATTTTTTGGATATGATTGTTATAAAATAATATATTTTTAAAATATTTATTTTTAAATTCTTAATTAATATTTTAGGTTTAAATTATATATTACAAGTTTTTATTTAGGAATCCCTAAATAAAAAAAATCATATTTTTTTCAGAAGAAATTATATGAAAAAAATATTAATAATTAAATAAAAAATTACTTATAAAATTATAAAATTTTGAAATGATTTTGTTCTATCTACCCTTTACGTTAGCGTGAATAGTTTCAAAAATTAATCTTCTAATCCATATTAAATAAGATTTTTTCATTTGTTAGTTTTTATAAACGTCTATTTATTAATTATAATTTTTTTAATATAATATTATGAAAAATATATTTTAAATTTTTTTTAATTCTTGATTAATATTTTAGTTAAAATCAATCCATAAAAAAGAATGATTTATGTTTTTTGAAGCAAAAAATTTATACATAAAAAAATATTAGAAAAAATTAATTAAATATGAAATTATAATTAAAAAAGTTTAAAATGATTATTTCATCCAGAATCATAGTGTAACGCAGTAATCGGCTAATATAAACTAAAACAAGTGAGGGGTTTGAACAGTGAAAATCATTGTTTATCCCCTCACAAATCACTATAGTAATTTTTTTTTTTTTAGTTTTT